GGCGACCTCGGAGCCCTGGACCCCAGATTGCCCCCAGGTGGCCAGCCCCACGACAGCGCCCCCAAGTGCCTTAAATTGGTGACAGCGGCCCCAGAACCTGGCTGGTGATCCCTGGACCAGGGACGGCTTCTGTCCCCCAGCCCCGGCTGCACCCTGGTCCCTGCGCTGGGTGCATGGGACTTACCCAGTTTATCTTGAGAATCTGGAAAGCTGTAGACAGCGCAAGAGAAGAAAGTTTCAGGTTCCGCAGGGACCCGGGAAGATGTCTTAGAGAAAGTGACATCGGAGCCGGACCTAAGACTTGAACAAGAAGCCAACCGGGCGGCCGGACTTAGAGACGAAGGGCTCCGGCTCCCACGGTGTCTGGAAGGACGCTGGTGGGAGACCGAGATTTCTGTTTCTCTTGTCCAGTGTGGAGGGCCCAGCTTTGGGGACCACAGCTAAGGGGGTGCAGATGGGTCCCCACCAATAGGTGGGTAGAGGTGGCCTGTGTTCCCGTGTGGAGCGTGGTCCCCAGGGCAGCAGTAGCATTACTTGGCAACTAGGTGGAGAGGCACCTTCTCAGCCCCGCCCAGACCCGCAGGCCTGGGAACTCTGGGAGGGAACCCGTGGTCTGTATTTAACCAGCCCTGCAGGGAATTCGGATGCAGGGAAAGCACAAACCACAGCTGAGTGGAGCCATCAGAAGGAGAAAAGCTACCTGCTGACCAGGCTATGGGAACAAGAACATCAGTTGACTTTTAACCGATGACTATTCAGTGGCTCCTTAAAGCAGCTGGTTGGATCCGCATTAAGAGACTGGGTTTGATGCAAGCTCTGTCCCACCCAGCAGCAGTGGGACCGACACAGGCCGCCCTCTGAAGCCCTGGAGGGAAACCTGGGCCGGACAGCAGGCTCAGAAGACCGGGAGGGAGTGGCCAGAGCAAGGCAGAGACTCTGGACCACTGGGCCCTGGAATGAGGACCAAGAACTAGATCCAAACACAAGGACTCTCTTCACTCTAATTCTTTTTATGCTTAAAACTTTAAGTCAAAACCACAACACTGTCTTTTTTAAATAAGCAAGTATAAGGATCTATCGATAAAGAATTGCAGAAGATCAAAAACATTATCATTTCAAAAGCTTCCTTCTTTACTTCAGAGAATAAAACTCACAAAATATAAAGTCTGCTAGTCTGTTTGCGTCAAAAACCGCAATCTGCTCAGCAATGGACAAGTGTGATGGTGCTTGTTTTATTAAACAAATGTGTGTGCCAGTGACTGGAGGCATCTTTTAGCAAAATCAATGTCTTTCAGATTCTATTGCAGTAACAATAGACCTTCAGCATATAAATGCCAGCTAGTGGGTGCCTGGCTGGTGTGGCTCAGTGGTTGAGCATCGACCTATGAACCTGGAGGTCACGGTTCGATTCCAAGTCAGGGCGCATGCCCAGGTTGCAGGCTTGATCCCCAGTAAGGAGCGTGCAGGAGGCGGCCGATCAGTGATTCTCTCTCTCCTCTCCCTTCCTCTCTGAAACCAATAAAAATATGTATATATGTATACTTAAATGTCGGCTAGTGGGAAATCAGCCGTTCCCACGTCAGCAGTTATCCAGAGAGCATTCATATTTTGCATCATAAAACTGATTAGAGACTAATCCTTTGTTTTTATGAATAAGAAACAGAATGCTAAAAATTTATAATTCTAAACAATTCCCAAAGATACTTCTGTTAAAAAAAAGCAAAATACTGAAGTCAATGTTAAAATTAAACATAATGAATAGTTTCTTAAATATGCAACCTGAATGGCCTATGTAAAGTATGACTACCTTATGAGACAAAAAGCTTCAATCTCATCATTTATATTCATCATCAATATGTAAATCATGTACATCTACATTAGCCCACAAAGTCCAGGACAGCAGAGCTTCAGAACACACAAGACATTCTCCAAACATTTATTCGACTGACGTCAGAAATCTCGGCACTCCTTCCTGTCTCAACACAACATGGGGTGAGCCTGGATGTGGCCACCAGGGCACTGAGGGAGGGGGTTCCGAGACCGGGCTGACCCAGGAGGCTGACGTGGCAGAGGCTGGCATTCACAGGTGGATCCACATGGGGTGCAGGGAACTTCTCCCCACCACAGACAACCGAGTCCCATGGAAATCACACCACAGCAGGGTGGCACCTCGCTCACTCTCTCTGGACAATCACCAAGCTGACTGGTTTGACAGTATCAGGCGAGAGACTGAAACCGCTGGGTCTAACGGTGTCCAGCGCTGATGGCGTCTCTTCCTCGGTAGACCTTTTCCGAGACATCCATGCGGCACCTGTTCTCCTGGGCAGGCCAGCTGGCCCCGGAGCTGGATGGTTTCAGCCTCCCTCCCAGCAGGTGTAGGCGGGGCCAGGGCCAGGGACTGGAGCACCAGGCAGGACACTTTGGGGACTCCAGTCTCACTTCTACTCTCTGTTGTATGGCTCCACAGAGCCAGTGGGTCCCAACGGGAATGTGAGGGGAGGGCACTGAGGAGAGGGAGATGGGAGGAGAGGCCTCGAGGGAGACTCAGAAACAGGAGGGAGCAAGCCTGTGGTCACAAGGTCACCAGGACGCCCAGGGACAGCACCAGACACAGGGGCAGGGTGGGGAGGACTGCTGAGTCTTGAGAAGAAGCCTGATTCATCTGATCAATGACCCAGTCCTTAAAGAAACTAACTTCTGTGTAAACTCCAGGATATCCTTTGCGGCCACAGCCGATGCCCCAGCTCACAATCCCCACCTGGACCCAGGTGTTATTAAATTCACAGACCAGGGGGCCCCCAGAATCTCCCTGGAGAGAGAGAGAGAGAGAAAGAGAGACAAATGGAGGAATGAAAGACCAACATCAGAGCCGGCTGGCTGCCCGCAAGGCACTGGACACACGTGGGGCGCCCCCAGCCCAGGTTTCTGAGAGATTTACAAGTTGAAAATTTGTAAACATACTCAAAAACTGTGCCCAGAAAATACTGACTATAAACAGAGAAAATGTACATACTCTGAGACAACAATAACGATTAAAGCCCTTACCTAATGCATTGCCTGTCACACAGAAGGGGCTCACAACATGTGACTCGTCTTACTGGTGTGTCCTGCCTGGACCCCCCTCCTCCCTGCCCCCCTCCAGGCAGCATCCTCTCCTCTTTACTGAAAGGCTGGGTCAGGGTCAGGCCAGCCGGGCAAAGCCCCTGCAGCGTGTCCCGCTGAATCCCCTTCATTTGAATGGAGAGTGAATGGAGGGGCTGGCAGGCGATGCAGGTCCTACTGCCTGTGATGAAGAACCCCAGGGGACAAGCCCAGGGCCGAGGCAGCAAAGGGTCGTGCACTGACCTGGCAGGAATCCTTTCCGAGAGTGTAACCACAGACACACCCTTCCCTGACTACGTCAAACCTGGTTCCCAACTTTTCCTTGAAGATCTCATTACACTTCTCATGGCGAATGATTTTTAGCTCAGCCTCCTGGAGCAATTCGGGGGCTGCCTCCTTAGGATCTGGAAAGATAATATCGGACAAGGGGGTCCGCTTAGTGGCCCCCACTCTGGGCTCCACAGAGTGTGTTCACTCACAGACACCCTCTTAGGGCAATGGATATTGTCGCCACTGGACATTGCAGGAAAGGAGACCCAAAGGTGACATGGGGAGAGGAGGAGGTAAGCATCAAAACCAAGACAGGAGAAGGAAGGGCCGATCAGGACCGGAAGAGGCGAGGCCTTACCAGCCTGAGAAATCAAGCCAAGCACCTGTCACCCTGAGTGCCATTAGGAATCGCGACAGGTGTCCTAGACATCAGGACTTTCTTTCACTTGGAGCAGGATCACAGACTTGCATCAGGAAGTGCCCCGCAGGTACCAGATCCAGCTCCCCAGGGGCAGGAGGCCCTGCAATGTCACTGAGAGGCATCTCTACGGCCTCTTCTCCCTGAAAACTCCCCAAGCACCGAGGCAAGTACTTCCAGTTGGGGGCGGCTCCGATGAGCAGCCAAAACCCACCTGAGCTAAAACCCACCTTGCTTGTCACCCAAGGTCCTGACCTATTAATAGAAATGTGCAACCCCATCAACGTACCCTCCTCCCTTACCCTCTTGCTAGAGAACTGCCTCCCTGGTCTCCCTTTGGCTTCAACCCCAGGGCACCTCTCCCCGGGCCTGAATTTGCTTCACAGTCTCACCTTTTTCATGTAGTTTTCCCCATCCAGTCACCCAGCAGTCGGTGTCCGTTTGCACCATCAAAGTCTTCTCGGGGAAGCACACCGGCTGGATGTGGGTGGAGTAGTTCACAGGGAACTCGAGCAGAACCAGCGCAATGTCGTTCTCGATCCTCTTGAAAGTGCTGTAATCTTGGTGGATGACGATGTCTCGCACTGGGACTCTGACGGCCATTTTGGAGGCGTGATGCACGTGGATGCCTCCTACCTTCACCGTGTAATCCAGGTGGCTGCAGAGAGATCCTGGATGGTCCGCAGTCCCTTCCACGTGGTCTGGGTTCTTCCCAGCCCCATCCTAGCTCCAACGCCAGCCATCAGCCACTTCCCTCCCTCCACACCGCATCCCCCCCCCCCCCC